GATGCTGTCTTACCCTCTGTTTCTGTGGTGACCCTCTGTTTCTGTGGTAGATGCTTTCCTACTCTCTGTTTCTGTGGTGGATGCTGTCTTACCCTCTGTTTCTGTGGTGACCCTCTGTTTCTGTGGTAGATGCTTTCCTACTCTCTGTTTCTGTGGTGGATGCTGTCTTACCCTCTGTTTCTGTGGTGACCCTCTGTTTCTGTGGTAGATGCTTTCCTACTCTCTGTTTCTGTGGTGGATGCTGTCTTACCCTCTGTTTCTGTGGTGACCCTCTGTTTCTGTGGTACATTGCTGTCTTACCCTCTGTTTCTGTCGTGACCCTCTGTTTCTGTGGTGGATGCTGTCTTACTCTCTGTTTCTGTGGTGGATGCTGTCTTACCCTCTGTTTCTGTGGTGACCCTCTGTTTCTGTCGTAGATGCTGTCTTGCCCTCTGTTTCTGTGGTGGATGCTGTCTTACCCTCTGTTTCTGTTGTAGATGCTGTCTCACCCTCTGTTTCTGTGGTGGATGCTGTCTTGCCGTCTGTTTCTGTGGTAGATGCTGTCTTACCCTCTGTTTCTGTGGTAGATGAGTCCTCGCCCTCTGTTTCTGTGGTGGGGGCTGTCTTACCCTCTGTTTCTGTGGTGACCCTCTGTTTCTGTGGTAGATGAGTCCTCGCCCTCTGTTTCTGTGGTGGGGGCTGTCTTACCCTCTGTTTCTGTGGTGACCCTCTGTTTCTGTGGTAGATGAGTCCTCGCCCTCTGTTTCTGTGGTGGGGGCTGTCTTACCCTCTGTTTCTGTGGTGACCCTCTGTTTCTGTGGTAGATGAGTCCTCGCCCTCTGTTTCTGTGGTGGGGGCTGTCTTACCCTCTGTTTCTGTGGTGACCCTCTGTTTCTGTGGTAGATGAGTCCTCGCCCTCTGTTTCTGTGGTGGGGGCTGTCTTACCCTCTGTTTCTGTGGTGACCCTCTGTTTCTGTGGTAGATGAGTCCTCGCCCTCTGTTTCTGTGGTGGGGGCTGTCTTACCCTCTGTTTCTGTGGTGACCCTCTGTTTCTGTGGTAGATGAGTCCTCGCCCTCTGTTTCTGTGGTGGGGGCTGTCTTACCCTCTGTTTCTGTGGTGACCCTCTGTTTCTGTGGTAGATGAGTCCTCGCCCTCTGTTTCTGTGGTGGGGGCTGTCTTACCCTCTGTTTCTGTGGTGACCCTCTGTTTCTGTGGTAGATGAGTCCTCGCCCTCTGTTTCTGTGGTGGGGGCTGTCTTACCCTCTGTTTCTGTGGTGACCCTCTGTTTCTGTGGTAGATGAGTCCTCGCCCTCTGTTTCTGTGGTGGGGGCTGTCTTACCCTCTGTTTCTGTGGTGACCCTCTGTTTCTGTGGTAGATGAGTCCTCGCCCTCTGTTTCTGTGGTGGGGGCTGTCTTACCCTCTGTTTCTGTGGTGACCCTCTGTTTCTGTGGTAGATGAGTCCTCGCCCTCTGTTTCTGTGGTGGGGGCTGTCTTACCCTCTGTTTCTGTGGTGACCCTCTGTTTCTGTGGTAGATGAGTCCTCGCCCTCTGTTTCTGTGGTGGGGGCTGTCTTACCCTCTGTTTCTGTGGTGACCCTCTGTTTCTGTGGTAGATGAGTCCTCGCCCTCTGTTTCTGTGGTGGGGGCTGTCTTACCCTCTGTTTCTGTGGTGACCCTCTGTTTCTGTGGTAGATGAGTCCTCGCCCTCTGTTTCTGTGGTGGGGGCTGTCTTACCCTCTGTTTCTGTGGTGACCCTCTGTTTCTGTGGTAGATGAGTCCTCGCCCTCTGTTTCTGTGGTGGGGGCTGTCTTACCCTCTGTTTCTGTGGTGACCCTCTGTTTCTGTGGTAGATGAGTCCTCGCCCTCTGTTTCTGTGGTGGGGGCTGTCTTACCCTCTGTTTCTGTGGTGACCCTCTGTTTCTGTGGTAGATGAGTCCTCGCCCTCTGTTTCTGTGGTGGGGGCTGTCTTACCCTCTGTTTCTGTGGTGACCCTCTGTTTCTGTGGTAGATGAGTCCTCGCCCTCTGTTTCTGTGGTGGGGGCTGTCTTACCCTCTGTTTCTGTGGTGACCCTCTGTTTCTGTGGTAGATGAGTCCTCGCCCTCTGTTTCTGTGGTGGGGGCTGTCTTACCCTCTGTTTCTGTGGTGACCCTCTGTTTCTGTGGTAGATGAGTCCTCGCCCTCTGTTTCTGTGGTGGGGGCTGTCTTACCCTCTGTTTCTGTGGTGACCCTCTGTTTCTGTGGTAGATGAGTCCTCGCCCTCTGTTTCTGTGGTGGGGGCTGTCTTACCCTCTGTTTCTGTGGTGACCCTCTGTTTCTGTGGTAGATGAGTCCTCGCCCTCTGTTTCTGTGGTGGGGGCTGTCTTACCCTCTGTTTCTGTGGTGACCCTCTGTTTCTGTGGTAGATGAGTCCTCGCCCTCTGTTTCTGTGGTGGGGGCTGTCTTACCCTCTGTTTCTGTGGTGACCCTCTGTTTCTGTGGTAGATGAGTCCTCGCCCTCTGTTTCTGTGGTGGGGGCTGTCTTACCCTCTGTTTCTGTGGTGACCCTCTGTTTCTGTGGTAGATGAGTCCTCGCCCTCTGTTTCTGTGGTGGGGGCTGTCTTACCCTCTGTTTCTGTGGTGACCCTCTGTTTCTGTGGTAGATGAGTCCTCGCCCTCTGTTTCTGTGGTGGATGCGGTCTTGCCCTCTGTTTCTGTGGTAGATGCTGTCTTACCCTCTGTTTCTGTGGTGGATGTATAAATTAATTTTTTTTTCTGGTTTAATGTATTTAATATTTACACTAATTTCTTGTCTATCATAAGTCATTTTAAGAATCATTCACTCATTCACATGTATAGTTCTTGAAAGATTGAATAATCAGATTTTTGATTTTGACATTTTAGTGTTCACTCAAAATTTAAAACCAATCAGCGGGTTTCACTGGTGTTCAGTAACTGGAAATGAAAATGTCATGTATCACTCTCATGTATCACTGCTTTGGAATATTAACCCTCTACAGCATAGTGTTGCCCTTATGTTGCAAGTTTTTCTTATGCCCCATGTTCAGTACATGTTTTTTAAAATGATTGCAACCAATTAAAATTAAAAGTATTAAAAAGAAAAGTATCAAAGAACAGTCCAATAAGGTGTGGGAGTCACTATTAAGCACCATTTGAAAACAGGACTTCCTTTCTGACACATGGTCACAGGAGCACACGGTGTGAGAAGAAGGCAAGTTGATATGCTTTAGTAATCTTATTTAAAATGACATTAACTGTACATAAAAAAAATATGTGTGTGTGTATGAATGTGTGGAGAAGACTTTTGTCAGGTTTTATGATTTTTTTTATTTTGCATGTTCAGAAATTCAGTTTTTCTTTCTGTTGCCTCAGGGCAATGTTGTGCAATAAGGGGTAAGGAAGCAGGGGCCCACGACTCCCATCCCTAACCAGGATTTCCCATTGACAATACATACAGGGTAAATAATGTGTGACAAAAAGGGAAGATGCAGGGTTCCTGGGTGCGCAGGAACACCCAGAGTGATGTGCAAAAAGTGCAACGTGCACCTCTGTTTCACAGCAGAGAAGAAGTTCTTTTTGAAGTTTCACACGGAGTAAAATCTCATTATATGCTGTACATGATATGACACAACACACTACATTAGGTTTGGGAAACTTCGGTCCTGGAGGGCCACTGTCCTGCAGAGTTAGCTCCAACCCTAATCAAACACATCAGAACCATCTAATGAATGTATTTTAAGATTTAATTAGGGTTGGAGCTAAACTCTGAAGGACAGTGGCCCTCCAGGACCGAAGTTTCCCAGCCCTGCACTACGACATAAACCTACATCTGTATCAAATGCAATATATTAATGTTTTTCAAGTGTTTTTCCCTTTTTACTTAATGATTTCTTGACAGATTTGTGATTTTGTATTGCTCTCTGAACATTGTCTTATGATATGTGAATGTAGAATTTTCTCTGTGATTCTGCACGTTACCCTGAGGCAACGAAAAAATATTTTGGGATGGGGGGTGAGGGGTGGTCAAAAAATAGTTTTATCAATAAAATGTTCCCAAATAAACCAAAAAATGATGTGGAATAATTTTTTATCATGTACCATCAAAATGTATGCAATAGAGGGTTAATAAAAATAATTTTCTTTGGCTCAAAGAACAAATGAATTCAGTGTGACAGATGAAGCAGGACTGTAACGGCCATAAACATTGCGAGTAAATATGTGTTTGCTTAGCTTGGCAAAGTAGTTATCATTACTAACCATAACTTATAAATGCTGCATATAAATATCCTAGAAATTAAAAAAAAAAAAAACTTGACCCATGACATTTATCTAGCAAATATTGGTTAGTTTGGTAGAAAGAAAGAAAGAAAGAAAGAAAGAAAGAAAGAAAGAAAAAAGGCTTAGCCAATACTGTTGACAAGATGTCAAGAACAAGAACAGCCAGAAATGTCTCTGAACAAGCAGCTGATTATTTATTTATACACAGAAAATACAATATACAACACATATGATTTACAGTGGATGAATAATCACAACATGCCCTCACATGACTATTTCCTCCCACTCATTCAAAACTTATGAAATAATTACTACATTTAAATATTATTGTTTTGGTGTGTTATAATTACTATTACAGGGTTTGTTGAAATGCACAGAAGAGCGACCGATTGTCTTGTACTGGTTTTGTAGGTGAGACAAGAATGGGAGAATGAGATGCTTATAGATGATTCAGATCTAATAATTACAAGACTCTAAAGACCTCACTCAGTTTTTATGATGATGGTAGTGTTATTTTTTGCCAAATCTTTGTGGCACAGCCATGCTCCAGATCTGTCCGGGAACCGACTCCCAGTCCCGAGACTGTATCCTTTCCTCTGTGGACAAGCCACTCCGAGTCCCCCGACCAAACCTGGAGAGCAGAAGAATCATGCCAAAGTGAATCCTGGGGATATTTTTGTCATCTTTATGGCAGATAATATCTTACAGACCACCCCCAATCTTCCACCCTCATTGAAATGTTAAAACTGGTGTAAATATTAGAGTACAGCTGAATAGGGGATCCACTTGCACTGTCTTTGACACAGTAAACCACCAGATCTTCTTTTCTACTAAACATGACACTGGGCATTATGGCGGCTGGACTCTGCCACCCCGCCGGCAGGTCTTTCAGGGTAGTGTGTTGGAGGTGAGCAGTGTCTATGCCACATCAACTAACCACTGGTGTACCTCAGGGTTCAGTCTTGGGTCCCTTCCTCTTCTAACATTACTAAGACCGTTCCTGCATGTTTCCCACCACTGCTACATCAATGACGTGCAGCTCTACCTGTCATGATCCCTACATGAATCTCAGCTGGACTATAGCAATGCTCTGCTTGTGATCCTTCCTCTGTGTGCATTCAAAACTCACACTCACTCACTTGTGCTTGCAAGCAGAACAGCAGCCGGATCTACACTCACTTTTACAAGTGTATGTTCCTGCAGATGGTGAGTGAACAGCAGCAATGCTGCATTGATGCATTTCTCATGTTATTACCTCCTTATCACTAATGTTTTAGCATTTGTAAGTTGCTTTGGACAAAATAATCTACAAAATGAATAAATAGAAGTATTGTAGTAAGAATACATATATTACAACTATTTCTGTAAAAACACCAATTTTGACCTTGTTGACATTATTGTTTAAGATGGTTACTTTAAATATGTGGTTATAATGTCATACTAATGATGCCCTTGTGAAAAAAAAGTGTGCGTAATTGTATTAAATGTGCACTAGTTGCATACTTCAAATCTTAGAAATAAAAAAAAAGACAGTACTTGCAGATAATATAAAATGAATGAAATGAAATGACACTTAAGTGACTTAAAGAGAGGCAGTTTCATGATGTTTCTTAAAACATTTGGGTACACTTTTAAAAAGTGTGCTTTGTAATAATGTCAAGAATTAAAAGTTTTAAAGTACATTTTAAATAAACGATCTGATAATTTTCTGTCATGCTTTAAAGAAGTACACTTACTTTGATTAACATTAGGGTTGCAAAAAGGTGGAAAATTTCCGACACTTTCCAGAAATTTGGGAAACTTTCCGGGATTTTTTGGAAACTTTTGGAAATTGTTGGGAATTTTCAGAAACTTTTGGCAATTTTCAAATGTGTAATTACAAATATATTTAAATACATGACATACAAGCCTCAATAGAAATTACATTAAAGTATAAGCATGATGCATAAATGCTTGTCAGTATATTCAACATTACACTTTTACCATATTTCAAAGACAATAAAATTATGAAATTACATATAAAGATGTACTGAAGTCCTATTGAAGTAAAAAAAAAGAAAAAAAAAGAGCATTCTTATTTTCAAATAATTGCATTTGATATAAACTCATTTAATTGTAAAAAAAATAATATAGGTAAGTGTTTGGAAACATTACATTTAATTCATTGTATATTAGTAAATTGTTTTAACACATTATGCCTGTAAAAAGTACTTTTTTAATAAGTACAGTGTGCATCTTTTTCATAAGGGCGATGCAGCAAATGGTTGAACTTTACGCACCGCTGCGGCTGGTGCAGCACTGAAGGGTTGCGTTCGTATCTCTGAGAACCGTGAAGTAAAGAGCGCAACATTTCCACCAGAAGACGATCCTCCAGCAGATGATCCATCTGCTCCTCAGTGGCCTGTTACACATCAGTGACAGTCATCATCACAAACACTCAAGCTGCTCTTTTACTTGAATGTCTCCAGTCAGATATGCTACAGCTGAGTAAGGAAGCTGTGGTGAACTTTCATTAAATGTATGAGACATTTCCAAACCCCATTTACATAGCCATAGGCATCTACCTGCTGCTTTGCACTTCTGAACTTTTACCATCAAACACAGAAATGTGCGCATCTCACCCCTCGACTCTCCAGCATGTTGTCGCTGTCTGCGTCCTCGCGGGACTCTAGGAGGAGTTTGCTCTGCTCCAGCACGTCATCTTTGGGGATGGACTGGCCCATATCGGTCATGACCAGCAGCACACCCAGCAGCATGAACCACATCACTACAGTACTACTACAGCCGCTGGACCAGCTCAGTCTCTGCTCATGAGTACCTGTACTGGGTTTATGGTGTGTGAAGCAGATCTGGAGACTGTCCTTATATAGAGAGAGTGTTTGACCCCAGAGACAGATGAGATGCTGGGATTGGTGATGGTCTGTACGATGGATCCCACAGGAGATCAACACGCTCATTAAATCTCATTACCAGATCAGCAAATACACTCTCAACTAGGGTTGCCAACTTCAGAAAAGGAAAATAAGTGACAGAATAAGGGATGCTCAAAATAGTTGTACTGTACCACATAGTTTATGGCATGCCCATATCTGTAGTTAAGTATGTGTAGAGGTTCTCAGAAAAATCACATTAGTTCTGCTTAACCTATTTATGTACAAAAATTCTAAAAATAATGTTAATGTCATACAAAAAACACATTACACACATCCGTCTGAGTAAATTGTACCACTACAGAATTGTGACTGCACAAGGGGTGTAGTAATTTAGGCGGATATACTGTGAAAATACATTCATACATATGGCATACAATTTGAAAGCATAACAGCTGAACGTCTATGAAATGTCAGTCAATAAAGCATTTTTTTTTTTAAATAAGGGCTTTAAAAATTGTGAACTAAAATGTTATTGCAACCATGTAGCCAATGAATGAATGAAAACGGAGTTATTGTGGGCTGCTTTTGGTGCTTGAATTTGTGCTTCAATAATGAGGTCCAAGTTTAAGAATACACTATAAGTTAAAATGTAAAAAATTAGTAATTTTTTCTCTATTTAACAATATTAGCTTACAATATTGAAAGAGGTAGGGAGGGATTGCCATTAGTGCGCGTGAAAGCGGGAGTGACCAGGCGGCAGAGGATTCTGCAAGGTCTTAAAGCCTTCCTCGAAGCAAATAAAACAATGATTTATCCAAAAAGAATGTGTAATTATTAATTTAGAGATTGTTATTCGTATGGTCTATGTGGTCATATGTCTATGAATACGGGACAAACTGCGTTCTGTATGGCCTTCATACGGAACACTTCTTTGATGCCTTAAATACGGGACGATTTCGTATTATACAGAACAGTTGGCAATGCTCCCAACACACTGGCCAGCTCCTTCTTTCCTCATATCAATCAGGAAACTTGACAGCCTGATGACAAAATCGCTTCATTAAAGCGAACATAACATACACTTTCTGCTAAAATGTAAGTAAGTGTATGTAAGTGCCCATACAAGGAATTCTGCCCTTTATGACGTCACACAGGGCCATACCCGGGGGGGTATACGAATCCTGAACGAGTGTCTTTGGCACGGAAATACTCTTTGGCCATGCTTAGCATGAGAATCCAACTCTTTAGCAGTGTAAATAAATCAGAATGCATAAAAGAGGATTAGACCTTTAAAGTAATCTGAAGAAATGTGATGTGACTGAAGTTCTGGAATCTTTATCCGTTATCATTCCCATTCATCTCAGTGACTGATGCTGGACCCCCAGGAGTAGCCTGTGTGACTGTAATATATTGTATTGTATTTTTGTATTCATTTATTTATAGAGCACTTTTCAGGCTACACAGTAACTCCAAAGTGCTGTACATCACAAATAATTAAGGTAGCAATAAACAAGATAATTCAAACAAAATTACAACAACATCAATGATAAATAATCCAACAAAAGGTTAAAATGCCAGAGAGAACAGATATGACTTTAAGCGGGACTTGAAGGTACTTAGCGTAAGGGATGATCTAACTTCGAAAGGTAGGTTGTTCCATAATCTTGGGCCAGCGACAGCAAAAGCACGGTCACTCTTAGATGTAAGACGCACTCTTGGGATTGTTGATAATAATTTGTTTGAGGATCTCAGCTTTATATTTATATTATATGGTTTAATAAGCTCCACCAAGTTTTTCTGGCGCTTTTCCATGCAATGCCTTAACAACATATGTCAAGACCTTTTATTGGATCCTGTAATGCACTGGTAACCAGCCTAATGAGGATAACAGTGGGGTAACATGATCAGTTTTCTTAGCTTACAACAGTATTCTAACAGCTGCATTTTGTACTAGCTGGAGACGTGCAACGTGACAATGACAATGACAATAAATAACATTACAATAATCTAAACGGGAAAAGATGAAAGCATGGATAACTTTTTCTAAGTCACTAGTTGAAAGAAATTATTTTAATTTAGCTATTGCCCTCAGATTAAAAAACAAAAAACAAAAACTAAACTACAGATTTTATTTGATTATCAAATTTTACCAAGGAATCGAAAATGACTCCCAAGTTCTTTACTCTGTCCTGCAGGTAGCAAGCCCAAGGGCCTAATATGTCACTTTCAGCCTTATTAAAAACTGAATGACCAAAAATCATAATTTCTGTTTTGCATTCATTCAACTGAACCAGATTGTCAGCCAACCAATCTTTCACTTCATCCAGACATCCACGGAGTGTTGCACAGGAAACATTACAATTAGGTCTTAGAGGCAAATAGGTCTGCGTTTCATCCGTGTATAGATGGTAAGAAATGCCATATTTTAAAAAAATCATTCCCAATGGGAGCATATATAGTGAAAACAAAACAGGGCCCAGAATGGACCCTTGAGGGACCCCACTGGAAAGATGTGCAGAATGTGAATAACAATTACCAACCTTCACTGCAAAAGAGCTTTGCTCTAAATAGAATGCAAGCCATGTATGAACTGTTCCTTGGATTTTGACAAACCAATAGAATTAATAGATCCAATAGAATTAGGGCAGCATGATTCCCTGCATCGCTTATGAGCAAAAGATCATTCACTACCCGTAAGAGTGCTGACTTAGTACTATGTCTGCACCTAAAGCCTGACTGAAATTTATCTAAGATATTATTATTGGTTAAAAAAGTAGTAAGTTGTCTCAAGACAACTTTTTTAAATATCTTATATCTTATCGATAAAATACTCTGACTGACAATATCAATGCCATCCTTAAGAATGCGCAATAAGACTGCGTCACCGGGGCAAAATGAACGCTTTAAATGAAAAATAATATCATGAACTTCAGAGAGTGGCACGGTTTCAAACGGACTGAAACAGAGTCCTATTGCATCTGAGTTAATCATGAGTTAATGGCAGAAGCAAGAACACTAGTTCTGATCCCATTAATTTTCTTGACAAAAATTCTGCAAATAAATTGCGTTGTTTTATAATGTAATGTTATATAATGTTTTAAATGCTTACAGCAATCTTACTATGGTAGAATACACAGCAACCTTTGAATAGCCATCAATGGAAAAATATTATTTTGCCCTCATAATGAGGTTGTTACAGTGTTTTCTAACTCAGGCTGAAGCCTGACACACACACACACACACGGATCTGCCATTAAAGTGCTGCTCATGTCATCGGGGACGAACCTATGCAACACATCCATTAACCACAATGACTACTAATCGGATTACAGACTGAAGAGCTGATGTGTGTTTGAGGTGTATCAGATCATGTTTCTGTCTTAGTAAGGCTTCATTTACATGATGAATTCATGCATCACACCAAAACTACTAAAACCATGTAAATAAAACAGATTTTTTTTCTAGATATCTTTAGGACATCATGAATGAAGCTGATGTTATTTACTGCAGCTCAACAAGTTTTGAATAAAACTTGTTGAAGTGTTTTACAAGAAAACACTATTTCAGTTGTTCTACTTCACATTTCTAAGATTGTTTCTACACCAAATGCTTTGGATGAAAGCATCTTCCAGACGTGTCTGAATGAACAAACGTGAGACGGAGCATGGTGTAAGTCTCTGAAGCATCACGCTGAAGTCCTGTCTCCCGGGGAGAGCGCTTGTGTTTTACAGGAGATTTAGTGCTGCTTGATGAAGCTTTACTCTAACAGCTCACCAAAAGTGATCACTTAGCTACTGATCTTTTAATCTCTACAGCTGATCTCAAAGAGACAAAGGAGGCTCACAGGTTTTCCCATCATTGATGTGTACGCTTGTGAAGTGTGCTTAATGTGCACTTCTTAGTGTACTTCAGATCTTAAAAGTGTCTCTACTTGCAGACAACATAATATTAATGAAATAAAACTTTACGAGAGTACACTTTCATGACTGTTTCCTAACACCTTTAAACAATGTCTAATTAAAAGTTTTACAGTAAAGTTAAAGCATTGACTTTAAAGGTAAATGAAATCATGCATTAAAGAACCCTCTGTTTGTGACTCTGGAGCCCTGTACAGAATCAGCTGTCGTATATAACAGTGTCGTCATTACAGAGATACAGTAGCTGTACATGTGCATTTGTTTCTGCTGTAAAACAATCCGGACTTTTCCTGGGATTTCTCCCAGAACAGACGTTTTTTGGAGAAAAAACACATGCCATTCGCCTTATTAGAAATTAGTGTACCAGCAGAATTATCTAGAAATAATACAGCTGCGTTAAATACATTCTCCTAAAGTATATTCTTTCCGTGACAAGTACTCTTTTTAAAAGTATGCTGAAGTTCTTTTTCACAAGGGCTGTTTCGAATACTGAATTATTAACCAGAAGATGCAGAAAACAGAATGAATAAAACTGAGAATATCTCTGCAAAACAACCAATAGTTTATGATATCAAGATCATGAACCACAACAAAAACGTGACGTGAGCATGACTGGCAGGACATTACATTATGGAGCTAATCTGAGACTGTTTCATGAGGCCTGTTTAACTCAAACTGATGTGTCCATACTATTAGAAACAGACTGGAGTTTCATCACATATACACATCAGTGTATAAAGTCTGCATACTCACCTGCTTATGAAGGCAGATCTGACCTGAAATTCAACGGACAGCCAGAGACAACTAGGATAACTTGAGAAAAGGAAACAAAATAAGTATGTATTTTACAGTTGACAGTGGACTTACTTACTTTATATTTCAGGTGAGTGTATGCATAGAGACTCAATTAATTAGTTTTAATCAGGGCTGGACTGGGGTTAAAATCCAGCCCTCGAGCTCCCCTGTGAATGTTTTGCTGGGTTTCAGGGCCTTAAATTGCAGTAAATAAATGAATAAATAAAACAGGACAGAAATCAATAATGAGAGATGTTACTGAATTCATGGCAAATGCAACACACTTAATAATGCATTTCTGTCACATAGAAATGCACTCGACAGTAAAGCATTGCTTTAGAGCTAGAATGCAGAAAATGCACTGCTGTTTAGTTGTCATAATTTCCTCGCTCTCATGTTATTCCCGATTTAAGGCTTGTCACAAACCATTTTTTTGTCCAGAAAGTCCTCTATTGTGTGGCTTTCAGAGTAATGTATCAAAATTGAGCGAAATTAATGCTTTAATGAAGCAAGAACATCAATGGGTTATGAAAATTAAAATAGAGAATAATAATAAAAATTATATTATTATGTTCAATAGTAATAGAGAATTATCTCTTTTCTGGGCTGGCTTGTTTTAGACCAATGCAAAAATGTATAAGTGTAAACAAATGTTTGAATATTTTGTGTTGTTTGATAAACACCAAAGCGAATTCTATTTTATATTTATGCTTTGTGCACAGGGGTAACCACGGTAACGGCTGTATTTCTGTTCTTCCTAAAGCACCACCTCCTGTCAGAGAGTGAACTTGCATTTTTATTCAGCACGCCTGCTGATTTTGTTCAGATCTGTGTGAAAGCCAGACCGAACATTTACACAGCAAACATGCAGTGTTTTAACTTAACTGGTCGATGGAAAATAAGGTAATGTGTGTTTTAAAACTCTACACAATTCTGGTAATAAGGTATCTAGAATTATCACAGCGTTCATGTTCATTACTGTACTATAGATGACACTGTTGTTACACTGGCACAAAATGCCGAATTAAACAGATAAGACACGATCCAGCAACTGGCATCTCAACAATATATTTTCAAAATATCATCACTTACCTTTATCATGCTCGTTTTCTTTCCTCTTTTTCCACCTCTTCATTTTCAACACGTGACTAACTCGAGCAAACTTTATCAAAGGTTTTAATCAGATGAAACTGTCTTCATGTCTGTGGTCTCCCAGGGTTTTAAGATCGGTTGAGAGCTGAAAATCGTCTAGTGTGTCCCAGGCCTAAATCGGGCTCAAAATCAGGCACAGACAGCTCACTCGCTTATTTGCACTCAGTCCACAAATGCTGCAATAGTGTAGCACTAGAACATTTCACATCACTTGGGCTTTTATTAAGTTGTCAGCTATCCATGTACAGTGTGCACAGACCCGTCAGGTTCTTCAGCTACAAACACATAAAACATAAATATATCTCAGCCGTTCTTTTGCCCAGTTGAATTATTCCTTGTGTTTGACAGCATGGAATGTGTTTAAAACATACAGAAACACAAGTATCTGCCTCATACACCAAAATAACTTACATCTGTCATTACCAGACAAATGCAGAAACAGTAAATCAAAGTCATCTCAAAACCTGAATGAAATGATTGGACATCGAGGGCAACTTTTAACCATCAATGACAGTCACATCTAATGAAGACACATCAGAATTTAGAATATGACAAATGAAAAATTAAAGGCACTTTTGTTGCTTCTTTTTTTTTTTTAGAACTGTATTGCTTTTTATTTTGTTCATAAACTCTTGCTAGTACAGTCAAATGAAGGAAGCAAATCTGTTGACCAAACAGAAGTTTAAAGTAGTGATGCACCTAAATGAAGCGAACAGCCGATAATAACAGAATCTTTGAAATGGGGAGAAAAAACTAAAAATGGTTTAAAGGAATAGTTCAGCCGAAGAAAACATTTATCACCCAAGTTGTTCCAAACCTTTCTTTCTTTGGTTGAACACAAAAGAAAAGATTTCAAAGAATTCATTTACATAGTCCCCATTGACTTCCACTGTACTTTCTTCCACACTATGGAAGTCAATGGCTACCGTCAACCATTTGGTTATCCATGTTCTTCAAAAATATTCACCTTAGTGTTCAACAGAAGAAACTCGTACAGGTGTGTAAACGACACCATTTTCATTTTTGGGTGAACTATCCCTTAAATGTCAACGGTGGATGGGTGATTTATTGACAGAAATGTAGGATTACTTTATTTTCAGTTTTTGGCGTGTCAGTTGTATGAGGTATGATAACCTTTTCAGACCAGCTGATGAGCGTCTCATGTGCTTCTTCATTTCAATGCTGGTTGTACAGTTCCTTCAAGAATATGAACACTCATTTCTCTTTCATTCAGGTATTAAAACACGTGTTTTAGGGTGCAGAACGTAGGCTAATATTCCTACGGGTCATAAAACACTTCATCGGTTTATTCGTGGTAACAAAAACAAACCTTTAAATAACTTCAAATCATCTTGTGTGCTCTTTACCAGCAAATGCGTTATTATTATAGTCATTAGTAAGTTAGAGAGTCTAATTTGAACTGTTAAACTGATTGTACACAGACCGTTCTGTGCACTTTCTGCAAGGAATGATTTCATCCCATATTTGTGCAGCTGTTGGTAGTAAACAGGTTTTTCGAGGAGCACAGTAGATCTACACTTACATGAACTCAACTCAGTTCGGCCAGACGTACAATAGTAGATCTATAAAACATGGCAAAGCAAGGAGCCATGGAGCAGGAACTGATGCAAGGAAACAAAGAAAAAGTCAAATATTTGGATTGTGCTGTTTGTTACAGTAAGGACGTTCCTCACATAGGAAGAACAAATGAGCGTAGTTCATTCTTTGGACGTGATCGGATGTTTGGCTCAGGAATCAAACTCTGGCTGTTCATCCACAAGAACGGAGGGGGGATACTGAACCGAACCTCTGCAATCCAGACAAGAGACGCCCAGAGCGATCAGACAGTGCCACACCTGAGGAGACACACACACACACACACACACACACACACAGATCAGCCCTGAGAAACACACCCATGACCAGTGAAGGGGTTTTTGTTCTTCCTCTGGACATTCGGCAGCATTTCTCATTCATACAGGTTTAAGGAGCACATTAAGACAGAGCTTGAACATGAAACGGAGAGATGGCTCACCAGGTAGATGATGAAGCTGAGATAGGCGATGGAGAGGAGGGCAGAGAAGACGTAGAGGATGGTGCTGTTGAGGGCCGTCACATCCACCACCACAAAGTACATGTTGATGGCGCACACCACCAGGATGAGCAGACCCCCGCTGATCTTCCACACACTGCAAACACAACACCGTCATCCACCGCTGATCAGACTCCGTAAATCCATCACAGACTGACCAGATCTACACGCCAGCACCCCCTACTGGACACATCACTCAAACCAGTGTTGTCATCGTGTGTGAGATTCATTCTGTTTAACACACGGACCTAATCAAGCAGAGCGCTGTGATTTGTGAAGATCGCTCACAGTCAGCCGTGCTGAGTAATACCACCAAGATTTCTGAGAAAATTATGATGAAGTCCATAAAGTGCTGAGGTTCACTGTTTTATGCACATTCATAGTTTTCATCTCCTGCACTGTCTGATGCATTATGATGCAAACAGAATATGGCACTTTCATTGGGCATTCATTTGGGTTATTTTAACGTTGTTAATTTAGATTTTACCTAAAGTAACCTACCCTGTACAGACTGTGACACGTAAAACATTTCAGCCTTTTTTGATGCAAAATGCAACAGAAATATCATCCATCGATATATTTCAAGTTAGATATATACATCCTACTTTATCCGCATGCATACAGTACACTCACGTAAAGCTAATATCTAATCTCGCTAGCTAATCTCAACTGCTTGATTGTTTATATTGTTGAAAAATGTAAACTACTGTATATTATCGTCCATCCCTAATCTGTTAAATACGACTATAACGCATGAAGATATTGAAGGGGAACTTCACCGCTGCAGAAATGAGCTTTTAATAAAGCTTGGCTGCCTATGCAGTAGAAAGGCAAAAACATTGTTGAGATCAGTGCTACCTGACAAGAGAAAAACTTCAACACCCATAATGCACTGGGCATGCTGCCATCCAAGGCCACTCCCAGTCTGCTCCCACTGGATAGGAATGTACAGTCAAATCAGTTTAGCGGGAGTTTATTTTGATGAGTTGCTGTGAAGACCTTTGAGTTTCTGTGTGTATATGATGATAGTTTCGTCTGATTTATTCATTCAAAATGTTGTACAGTAAATTCCACTTCCATAACTGGATTCTGCAATTCCGTCCACATGATCCACATCACAGAAATCATATGGTCTTAAGTAAAGCATCCAGAGAGTTGCAGGCAGTGGCTACAGGCTGCAAAGAATCATAAATATGGTGAGAACAACGTAACGGTGAATGAAGTCTCCATTTCAAACTGGATGACTATGAACTATGAACACAGTGTTGATCCGTAAAACCTGCAGTTTGCACAAAACGCCAGGAACGCATCATCCAGCGGACCTTTGCTTTGAAATAATGTGTATTGTACAAAGCGTCAATACAAATACACTTGACTTGGCTTTACTTGGACTTGGATTTAGTTTACAAACAACCTAAATATGATTTTCATTTATAATAAATGCTAAAATTCAGCATTAGTAACTTCATGCTGTCAGTAACGTACAAAACTCAAGCTCTGAGGATCTCGCAGTTGTTGGCTCTTTTTGAGTCACACATTACCAATTCAGTGAGACCCGCTCGGATCAGTGAGTTATCGACTTGAGAACATACATTTTTCAGTGCATTTTGCAAACTAATTCAACATGGTTGATGGACAAGAATCAAGCTTGTTCAAGAAAGGGACACTGCTGTTGCACCTCAGTTGAAGAGGGAGTCGATTTCTTCAATTCGAAATAATGAGAAACATTTTTATGAAATGTACTAGAGTACTATACAGTGGGGACCAGCAGCTGTTTGGTTCACACATTCTTCAAAATATCTTTTATGTTCAACAGAAGAAAGAAACTCATTCAGGTTTAAAACAACTTGAGAATGAGTAAAAGATGACAGAATTTTCAGCAGTTTGGACTTGAATGAAGAGAGAGAATCTGCGCTCAACTTTTTCAGAGGCATTTTGTTTTCAGTTAGACAGATATCGTGATGTATCATTATAGGATTGTCTAGCAATATATCGATTATCGCAGAATTGCTGTATCGTGATATTATCAGTATCGTGAGCCATGTATCGTATCATATCGCAAGGTACTCTTTGATTCCCACCCCTACCGGACAGCAACCAGTCCGGCTTTAGAAGTGGACATTCAATCAACCCTCATGAAGATGCCAGGCTGGACTATTGCAATGCTCTCTTGGCAGGTCTTCCAGCCACTTCTATCAAACCTCTACAATTAATCCAGAACGTGGCAGCAAAATTAGTCTTTAACGAGCCGAAAAGAACGCACGTCACACCATTGCACTGGCTACCAGTAGCTGCTCACATTAAATTCAAGGCATAATGTTTGCCTACAAAACCACCACTGGGCGTATTATTGTTCATCTCAAAGAGGCACAAAATCCTTAGCCATCATCAAGAATCGGCTAAAAACATATCTCTTCCATCTTTATTTGACCCTCTAACTATAGCACTTTCTATTCTATTTCTATTCTAACTACTTGTTTTCTTTTTATTAAAAAAAATGACATTTTATAGCATTCTCTATTATTTTTCTATTCTTGTGACTTATTTGCTTTTTATTTATTTCTACAAAATTGATCCTCTAACACTAGCGTTCTCTGTTCTTTTTTTATTCTATCCACTTGTTTTCTTTTTTTATTACAAAAAAAAACCCCTTGCTACGTGTACTGTGTTAGACTGACCGAGACTTGTCACATTACTTAAATAGCATTGCTCTTTTGTTAGTTTTGACTGCTTTTATTGTCCTCATTTGTAAGTCGCTTTGGATAAAAGTGTCTCCTAAATGACTAAATGTAAAATGAAGACACGAATGAGAACTCAATTTGGTACTCGCGCACTGTTTTCTGTGTGCCATTACAGAGCGGTGTTCACTTTTGCGTCTTTTCGTGCTTGAATGGACAAATACATGCTAAATTCAAAGTCAAAACGCCCGTTATGGCAAGTAACCAGGTAAGCGCAGTCTTAAATTAGTTCAAATAAAAAGTTTTAAATGAACATACACTGTTGTGAGAAAATCTGATAAGTGTCAGATCTATGCATTTGGTATGAAAGTGACCGCAGCTTTTAATATACAGGTGCATCTCAATAAATTAGAATGTCGTGGAAAGTTCATTTATTTCAGTAATTCAACTCAAATTGTGAAACTCGTGTATTAAATGAATTCAATGCACACAGACTGAAGTAGTTTAAGTCTTTGGTTCTTTTAATTGTGATGATTTTGGCTCACATTTAACAAAAACCCACCAATTCACTATCTCAACAAATTAGAATATGGTGACATGCCAATCAGCTAATCAACTCAAAACACCTGCAAAGGTTTCCTGAGCCTTCAAAATGGTCTCTCAGTTTGGTTCACTAGGCTACACAATCATGGGGTAGACTGCTGATCTGACAGTTGTCCACAAGACAATCATCGACACCCTCCACAAGCAGGGTAAGCCACAAACATTCATTGCCAAAGAAGCTGGCTGTTCACAGAGTGCTGTATCCAAGCATGTTAACAGAAAGTTGAGTGGAAGGAAAAAGTGTGAAAGAAAAAGATGCACAACCAACCGAGAGTGGCTGCAATATAACAAAGAGTGAAAAATTGAAGGGGGTCTGAATACTTTCCGTACCCACTGTACATAAAAAATCCGCGGGAATGAGTAAAAGCAATGCACAATCCCACACCGAGATTCAGGACCTGATTAAACATATATTCTATTATACAGAGATTTGTGAAATACATTTCCATGACTTTTCCAAAACTTTGTTTTTTTTTCCCCCCAAAACTTTTCCAGGCCTGGAAATTGCCATTTTAAAATGGCATGCTTTGGAATGTAGTGAAGTAAAGGTTTGCTAAAGGACAGATACCTGAAAAATGTACTTGAGTACAGTAGCAGAGTAAGAATCCTACATTAACTTCACAATACTTCCAGCACTACTAGTGCAATACTTTCTTGTGTCTTGGAGGAAGTTTTGCATTTTCATACTGCTCGACTTCAGCATCATTCTCATTGTGATAACTGCTGAGAGTTCAATAGAGTACGGACACGGATACTCACAGTCCGTTGGCGAAGTCGTTCATCAGTGAGGTCAGGCTGGTGAAGGTCAGGATGGGGATCAGAGCGAACGGCAGCTG